CGCGGCGCCCCCGCCCCCGAGTGGGACCCCACTGCCCTCTGAGCGCCGGGCACTGGACCCAGGTGCAGGGCGCGGGGCTAACTGGGGTTGGGTGCTCCCCGAGGGTCTGCCAGGTACGGTGCCCAGCGCCGGGGTCCACACTGGGTCTGCGTCCTGAGGTGACCCTAGTCTAACCTCGCCTGGCCGACGGTGACCTTGGTCGGTCGCAGCACGTCAGGTCATTAGGCTGACCCCGGCTCAAGATCGGAGCTGAATTGCAGCCCTGGGGGCAGCGGACCTGTACTAGCCAGTGGGTGATAGGGAGCAGGCACCGAGTCGTATCCCCAGGCCGGCGGGTGGTGTCCTGGCAGGCGCTGAGCGGGGCTCTTGCAGGCAGTGCCCTTGTCTTCGAAGCCTGGCCTTTCCCGTGGCCGGAAAGTGATGCTGTCAGCGCTGGGCATACTGGCGGCAGGTGGTGCAGGGCTGGCTGTGGCTCTTCATTCTGCTGTGAGTGCTACTGACTTGGAGCTGCACGCCCCCAGCTATCCATGGTCTCATCGTGGCCTCCTCTCCTCCTTGGACCACACGAGGTGTGAAGCTAACTGGCTGGCTGGGGGAGTGTCTTGGTGGACAGGGTAGTGTAGAATGTTAAGTGTCCCTAACCTTTCTGTCTCTCTTTAGCATCCGGAGAGGTTTCCAGGTTTATAAGCAAGTATGCTCTTCCTGCCATAGCATGGACTACGTGGCTTACCGCCACCTCGTGGGTGTGTGCTACACCGAGGAAGAAGCTAAGGCATTAGCTGAAGAGGTGTGGGGCTGGGAGGTTCTGTACAAAGCCTGGGGTTCCCACTATGGTGGCATGGCAGGGTTGTGATAAGGCTTTTGGTGGCAGGTGGAAGTCCAGGATGGCCCCAGTGAGGATGGGGAGATGTTCATGCGACCAGGAAAGCTGTCTGATTACTTCCCTAAACCATACCCAAACCCTGAGGCTGCCAGAGCTGCCAACAATGGAGCTTTGCCCCCTGACCTCAGCTACATCGTGCGAGCTAGGTACATGGAATGGAGAGGGTGAGGAAAGGCGGAGGGTGTGATTCTTGCCAAGGGCTGAGGAGCCATGGATCTGATTTCCAGACACGGTGGTGAGGACTATGTCTTCTCCTTGCTCACGGGCTATTGCGATCCACCCACTGGAGTATCATTGCGAGAAGGCCTCTACTTCAACCCCTACTTCCCTGGTCAGGCCATCGCTATGGCCCCTCCCATCTACACTGATGTCTTGGAGTTTGATGATGGTAAGTCCTTCACTATGAGTCCTTTGCTACCCCCAGATACTCCCCATGTCCCTTGGCCCAGGGAGGTCCTGACTTTTTATTGACTGGAGGGTTTTCTGTTTGTCTGAGGAAGGTTTGGGGTAGCTCTCACAGTCCTGTGGGTTGCTGTTCCTTTTGAGCCTTGGATAGGAGCTAGACTGGCTCCATGGAGTAGGCTTGCACTGAAGGTTATCCCGGGTTGGATACTATCCTCTGAGGGTAGCGTTTATCACTTGTCTTTGGGCTAGGCACCCCAGCTACCATGTCCCAGGTAGCAAAGGATGTGTGTACCTTCCTGCGCTGGGCATCTGAGCCGGAACATGACCATCGCAAACGCATGGGACTCAAGGTGATTGGTTGGGCAAGGGCCACAGTGCGTATCAGAGAGGCACTGGGAGGGATCTTTCCTGTGTCCCTTCTCTGAGTCTGCTTTGTCCCTAGATGTTGATGATGATGGGCTTGCTGCTGCCACTGGTCTACGCAATAAAACGGCATAAGTGGTCAGTCCTGAAGAGTCGAAAGCTGGCGTATCGACCTCCTAAATGATCCTGTCCACCATCTGCTTGCCACCTTGCCTGAACAGGCCCTCAAGCCCAGGAGCCATCCCAGGCCTCAGCTGGTCCACTCTGCCCAGCCTCTTTATGTGGGTCAAGGGGAAAGGGCAGGAGACCTGGCTATTGCTCCAGACTTTCAGCCCTCATCTTGGGAATAAATTAAATTGTTCAACATACACATTTGAGCTGCTATGTGATAGGCTTTCAGGGGAACCATGCCTTCACAGAAAGTCCCAGGCAGTGTGGCCAGCCCTGCCTTATATCTGGGAGACCAGAAAGTGATGGGTGTGAGACAAAGCAGATTAACGTTGTGGAGGCAGCATTCAGCAGGGTGTATGTGTCCTGGCACAGAAGTGAAAAGGGCCTGACTTATAGCTTCCCTTGTCCCTGTGAAGGGAGGGAAAATACCCATTCTCATTGTTGGTTTCATTCTGGCTGGGGCAGATGAGGGGAGGTCAGGCTGAAATCTGGGGAGTTGGGGGTAGACAGCAGCTGAAGGCAAGGCTAATAGTAGGGGCTGGGGCACACAACCCCCGGTAGCCCAAGCCCAGTGGTCAGCAGTCAGGGAAACATCTGTAGGCTTCAGAAAGAGATCCCAGTACCACATCACTATCGAGACTTGGGGTCCACATCCACTCTTGAGTAGCCACCTAGGCCTGGCTAGGGAAGCCCCACTTGCTGATGAAGGCTAGGCCTTGCTCTAACTCCAGCATTCCTGGTTGGTCTGAATCAGTTCTCACACAGAAAAGGGGACACTGGACTGGCTTATATTTTTAATGACTGGCTCATGCTCTTCCCTTGCCCCAATCCTGGTGGCTTTATCTCCAGTGAGCAGCCAGTGGAAGTCCCCTGAGAAGTTCAGGTGGTGATCCAGGAACTTGGATCTGTGAGAGAAGGCCGATGTTCTCAGTAACCTGGAGGAAGAGACAGGTTATTCCTACTTGCTTGTCTTATACACCACCTCCACCCCCAGCCTCTTGTACCTTTGATAGTTCCTAGGTGGAGTCTGTAGGAAGGGGATTCCAAGGGCAGGGCCTCTGGGTGCTACACATCTCACAGCCTGGACGGCTTGGGGCATTGATGAAGGTGCAGGAAGGACAGGGCCAGCCGGGATAAGGAGGTGGGGAGACTTTTGTTGCTTTTCTGCTCCTTCCAGTGATCTCAGCTGCCCAGGTTTGGCCCACCTCTACACACACTGGTCCCTTGCCCACCTGAAGGGGACTGGGGAGGCTGGCTGGCTGGGGGGCTTGGGTCAGCTCCAGGGTCTGGGGAAACAAGTTTCCTAGGTCCCCATCCATCTTCTGGGGACACTGAGGGCTGTGTCCTGTGAGAGAGGAGGGGGGCTCAGGGCTGTCTCCAGCTACACCCAGCATCCTTTACCTCCATCAAGGACTCACCTGGTGCTTCTGGGGGGGCTGAAAGCAGGTAGAGAAAGGCAGGGTCCCCATCCTGCTGGACCCCATAGGAAGCAAGGCTGCGCTCAGGCACACAAAGGCATCGTCCAATGATCCAGCGCTGCACAGCAGGTGGGAAGCCAAATTCAAAGAACACCTGTGGGCAGAGTCAGGGTTGGGCAGGGTGAACCCACCCCCGCAGGAATCCCTAACCCTGTGCTTACCTGTTCCTGGAGAGCTGCAATGGTGCAGTGGGGGTGGACCTGCAGCGAGATGTGGGCAGAGGATGCAGAGAACATAGCAGATATGGCATCTTCAACTGTGACCTGCAGCCTGAGCCAAAAAGTAAACTAGGGGTTGGGTGAGGAACCCGGGAGGATCAGAAGGACAGAAAGAAATAGACCTAGCCTCACCTGATAGGACCAGGTGGGAAGCAGGCTGCCTGGAGCTGGACACTGAGAGCCACATGATGCTGGGCCAGGACTGCTGCCACTTGAGCTGCCCCCTTCTCGTCTCCACGTGCAATGGCCTGGGCCAGGTCCCCAGCCAGCTCTTCTACAAGGATAAGAGGTCAGCTGTTATAGCCAGACACCAGCTACTTCCCTCAGACCCCTCCAGCAGCTTGTCCTTACCTTTCTCCAATGAGTCTCCAGGGCTCCAGGTCACATTCGCCTGAGATTGTCGTGCTTTGAGTGTTGGGGCCACAGGAGGACTGGGAAGGGAAATAGGGCATAGTTCTGGGCCCAAAGCTGGGGGTGGGCTGCCACTACCTAGGAAAGAGATGCAGAGTGGCTGGTAGCCTTTGCCCAGGCCTCTCTCTACCTTTAGGTTTCTAGGACCTTTATCTTCTCCCTCTTCATCTCAGTCTATGTCAGGTCCTGTCTCAGGCCATACCACATTTCCCCTCCCAGCCTTTGTCCTTGTAAACCCCTCAGAAGTCCCTGCCCAGCTTGTTGGTGCTGGAGCTACCATTTGGTTCATATTTGAGACGTGGGGTTCTGAACCCTTCTACTTTTGGTCTTACCTATGTCCCTGCTCCATATAGCAGAACCAAAGCAGGTCCTCAGATAGGGGTCAGACCCTTCCTGCTCAACAGCAGCCCTTTAGTCAGTGACCTACTCTTGGTGCCCTCAGTAACCTCTCATCTCCTGGCTTCTCCATTTGCACAGAACACACTTGGGCTGCCTGCACTGGGCATCCTTACAGAGCCAGGGACATTGCTGTACCCCTTATTACCACCTGCTTGAGGTCAGGCCATGGCAATGAGAGGTCCACAATCAGTGCTACCATTTGTGATGGCTTATTCCCTTGATATTCTGAACTGTCTCCACACTAAAATGAGAACAGCCCTCAAGCACCTGGTGCTGTTGTGCCTTAAGGATCATTTGCACATACTCTCTTCAGAAATTTTATACTTGCTATTCCCTGGATCACATGGCTTATGCCATGACCTTCAAATTCCACTCAAGAGTCGCTCTCAAGGCTGCCTTTCCTACCACCATATTAAGTAGCAGGCCTCCCTCCTTCCAGCACTTCTGTTTCCGCTACCATTTTTTTTGTTTGTTTGTTTTGTACCAGGGATCAAACTCAGGGCCTCATGCTTGTCAAGCAGGTGCTATACCACTGAGCTACACCCTGGCCCAGCCCTCCACCATCTAACGGAAGCTTATGCAAACTCCAAGACAACAAGGATTTGAAAATTTGTTCAAGCTAAAGAAGTATCAGCCAACCAGGAACCAAGTACATAACATTTGATGAATGAATGACTAAAAAGAGCCTCTCCCTTTTTTCAGTGCAGAGTTGCCTGGGCTTCTCTTACATTACACTGTCTGGCTGTCTTCCTTCTTCTGTCCCATTTGTGGGCCCTCCCTCTCCCCAAGTCCTTATCTGTGTGCCAGACCCTTTTCTCTTTAGGATTCTCTCTCCTGGTAAGTTTTGTTGACCTTTTCTATGTCCAATCTTTACTTCCGGAGAGTCCCAGTACTACTCCAGATGTGTAAGAACTCAGCCACTTCCATGCACTTCCAAGCTGACCCTGTCTTGCACTAACTGGCCCCTCCATCTTTCTCAATCTTAACCACTAACCCTTCCATTTAAACAGCCATGAAACTCAGCTAATTCTATCATCTTAGAATCTCTGGAAACGTCCTCTGCAGCTCTATCAGGACGACCTCACATGTTAAGTAGCACAGATCTAAGACTCATTTTTCCACTGCGTACCCTCCCCATTGTTCTTGAACTTAACTTGTCATAATTCACACTGGAATCCTATAGCCCTGGCTTGCTATGACTTGCCACATTTGTCCGGTACTTAGGCCTGCAAGCTCCTCAACCTCAACCTTTCTCGACGTTTCTACATTCTTCCTCCTGGGAACCTTCCCAGTCCCCCATGTTCCCCATCACTGCCCCCAACACTGTCTGGGAGCCCAGGGCTACTCTAAATGAGCTCTAATTCCAAGGACTGACCATTCTGTCCCTCCACGGAGGCACCTTGCATCAGGGCTGCCCACCGCTGAGCTTCCTCAGGGTTGAGGAAGTGTAAGCTGAAAGTTCCAGGCCCTCCTGGCGGAGGCTGCAACTCGTGTTGGCCGGGACCGCGGACGATGTAGGAGACTGACTCCAAGGGCCACTCCAAACTGTCCTGAGGAGGGGGAGAGTCCAGGCTTAGTGGTCTCCTACTCTGAATCGCATGGTGATCAAAGGAAGACGTGATAACATCTACAGGCCACTAACAAGGAGTTACCAACATTATCCCCATTTTACAGTGTAAGAAAGCAAAGCAACTAGTCAAGGGCATGCAGTGGGTTGGCAGAAGGGCCTAACCTCGGGCTCCTCACCCTACTTTCACTTACCGCCCCAGGTCCTGAGCCCTGAAGTTGCAGCCGGAAATGCCCGGGCCGCTCGGGGTCCACGCTCAGCTGCAGCCTCCGCAACTGCGCCTCGGCATCCGGCCCGGCGCTCAGCAGCCTCACTGCAGCGTGCACAGCCAGGACCACCGTGGCCGAGCCCGAGTCCGCTGTTGCGGCTGCCCCACCTGCCGGCGGTGCCATCTCTAGGCCGCTCTGGCCCAGACTCTCCGAGCCTGCTTCCGTCGATCGGGCCGCTAAGTGCCTCCGCCGACCAGAAACTAGGGCCCTGAGACTAAGTTCCGGGCGTAGCCAGAGTGTCCGAACTCAGGTGGGACCCTGGATCGCGCACTGGCCAAGCCTGGCCCCTCTGCTATGACCAAGAATGTACATGGCCCGATGGTCAAGTTTGAGTTGTGTATCGGAGCCGGTATCAGAGTTTGAAGCACTAGCCACAACTGAAAGCGGCCACGGACTATTCTCCTCAGAGGCTCAGGCCAGCAGAGGTGGAATACAATTCCAGTAACGGGCTGGAGCGGCGCATCGGCTGGGGGCCAGTCCAGCCCGCTAGGTTAGCCCGACCGCTGCCCAGAGAAGTCTCAGGCTGGCTACCCACACACCAGCCCGGGGGCGGGGCGGAGCTCTCGCCAATGAGCGCTGGGGAGGGAGGCGGGTTCGCACGGTGAAGAGAGTGACAGGCCTCAGGTCCAGTAGGCGTGGAAGACGGGATGAGCGGCGGGGAGCATTTCCAATGGCTGGTCGCGCTTTCGAGCCCGAGACCGAAGCGGACCATTCAGAGGCGTGGGGCAGGGCCTGCCGGACGCTTGTTGTTGTCCGGACGAGGGAAGTGGAGGTCGCTGGTTTTCTGGCTCGCTGGGGTACTCTGCGTCGGTCGACGACAGGTCGGTCGCGAGAGTAGGCGTTGCGCAGGGGGGCGAGGCTATGTCGTGGTGGCAACCCGGATGGGCCGGCAGGGCCTGGAGTAACGGGACGTCGCCGCGGAGCTTCTTCCCCCGGATACGGCGCGGCCCGAGCGGAGGCCGCGGCGCCACCCTGCGGCTCTGAGGAGCCCGCACAGCGCCGATCCCTCCTCGCTTTTGCTCCAACACCGACGCCGAGCAGTCTGGCCGGCTCGATCTTGCCAAGCCAAGGCAGGTGGGTATCCACCCTGAGCCCGCGACGTCCGAGGCCGCGGGAACCACAGCGCCCAGCAGGCCTCGCGCCGAAGCACTACCTCCTGGAACTTGTAGTTCCGCGGCGGCTTGGCAGGAGCCCCTCGCTCGCCGCACTGCCTGCTGGGACTTGTGGTTCCGTCGAGGCTCGACAGGTGCCCCAGCCGGGTAGGCCGACGCTGCAGCGCGCTAGCTGGGCCATAGGGAGCTTTCTCCATTCATTGGTATATGAAAGGACTAGATGTGCTTGCAGGATAGGAACCTGTAGGGTTTCCTAAACTGGTTGCTAGAGAAGCGGCCTATAGAACCCAAGGGCGCCCATCCAGGTGACTGCCGGGCCTGGGCCTCAGCTGTTCTAATTCTTACCCTGACCCAAAGGATCCCAGCGCTGCCAGAAAGGGGGATTGCAGGAGTCACAGTCCTTGGCCAGTGCAAAGTGATTCCCATGGTGGGTGGTGCACCTCTTTCTGGATGAGAGTGGAAACAGTGAAGGCTGAGTGTGGGACTAGTCCAGCAGCCCCAGGATGAGCAAAGTCCTGGATTGTCCCCCTATCCTTCGTGTTACAGGGGATATGGCTGAGGTGGGAGCCTGAGCTTGCCACCTTCAGGTAATAGGAACTCATCACTTAACAACTAGTGCTGTATGTTGAGGGTTGGAAGAGGGAGAGAAGTTATGTGAAGCCTGGACATAGGCCAGACCCACCTGTGCACAGTGATCTGCTTAGAGGATAGGAGGGCTAAAGGCAGAGTTCCATGTGGCCAGATACACATGCCCTGGCTTCCTACATCCTCAGGCAGCACTAGCCCCTCTGGAACAAGGAGTCCCCTCCCCAAGGTCATGAAGCTGTTGGAGAACTCCAGCTTTGAGGCCATCAACTCACAGTTAACTGTGGAGACTGGAGATGCCCACATCATTGGCAGGTGAGGTCAGAGGCTCGGGGGCCAGCATCTCCAAGGGCACTGCCCTGGCCCCTGAGTTGAACCTGGTGGGGCCAGCATGCTCCATGGTCCTGCCTGCATCCCATAGGATTGAGAGCTACTCATGTAAGATGGCGGGAGATGACAAGCACATGTTCAAGCAGTTCTGCCAGGAGGGCCAGCCCCATGTACTGGAGGCACTCTCCCCACCCCAGACCTCGGGCCTCAGCCCCAGCAGGTGAGCTGAGGTGGGGCCTGCCTTTTCCAAGTTGTGGGATGGTGGGCTAGGCTGATGTTTGTCTTTGTACAGACTGAGCAAGAGCCAAGGTGGTGAGGACGAGGGCCCCCTCAGCGACAAATGCAGCCGAAAGACCCTCTTCTATCTGATTGCCACACTCAATGAATCCTTCAGGCCAGATTATGACTTCAGCACAGCCCGAAGCCATGAGTTCAGCCGTGAGCCTAGCCTCAGATGGGTGAGGATCGGGTGGAAGGACCTGCTCTTCCACAAACATCCTGGCTGCAATCCCCAACTTTTTGTGATTTCTGGGCTCTGTTTAGTCCACACTTGATGTCCTGGACCCCTGTCAACACTGACTATGACCTGCCCTAGGTGATGAATGCAGTCAACTGCAGCCTGTTCTCCGCTGTGCGAGAAGACTTCAAGGCCCTGAAGCCACAGCTGTGGAACGCAATGGATGAAGAGATCTGCCTGGCTGAATGCGACATCTACAGGTGTGCCAAAGTCCCTGCATGTATATTCACCCAGGTGTATGTGGCACTAAGTGCCTCACATTAGTGCTTGCCCCACCCCCTAGTTATAACCCAGACCTGGACTCAGACCCCTTTGGGGAGGATGGCAGCCTCTGGTCCTTCAACTATTTCTTCTACAACAAGCGACTCAAGCGAATTGTCTTCTTCAGCTGTCGCTCCATCAGGTTTGTACTGCCCACCTCCCTTCCCCTAGCTCTCTGTGCTCATACCATTTTTTCAGCTGTGCCCAACCACCCAACTGTGTTCTGCCTGAACATCCTCCCTTGGACCAGCAGCAGGTTTGGGATATGTGGTCCTAAAGTTGGTTTCCCTACTTCCCCACCCAGTGGTTCCACCTACACACCCTCGGAGGCAGGTAATGAACTGGACATGGAACTAGGGGAGGAAGAAGTGGAAGAAGAAAGTGGAGGCAGAGGCAGTGAGGGTGGGGCTGAGGAGACCAGCACCGTGGAGGAGGACAGGTATGTGGTGGCCCCAGTCCTTGGAATGGGTGGGATAGGTCAGGGCTACCTCTGCCTAGTGTACTGGGTAGTGACACTTCAAGTCCTGCTATGTCAATCCCTGCCCAGGGTCCCAGTGATCTGTATGTGATGAGAAGAGCAGAGGCCCCAGCTTCATTCAGCTTCAACCAATGCCTGGACCTGCCCACCTGAGGGGCCCAGGACCTCCCCAGCTGATGGCCATACCCTGCCGCTGCCACAATCCTGGTGCTGCACAAGGTCACACCTGCCTAGCCTTTTGGTGCCAGCCTATGGATGTCCACTCACCCCTGCAGGATCTAACTGCCCATGTTGTGGCTGGACTAGACAGCACAAGGCCTTGTGGGAAGAATGACTGCCCTGCTCAGATGGACTGCCATAAGCAGGGATGGACCACAGAGTTTATTTTTGTATTTCCTACTGGTCCTGCACACTCCAGCCCCAAGGACCAGTGTCCTGAGGCTCCGCAAGCAGGCCCTAGTGGTCAATGGCTCTGGTCTTGGGCCAGCCCCTGGTGCCCATCTGTCCCCCCACTTTACCAGGAGGACTGTGTGCACTGTCACTTTGCTGCAGCTCATTTGTTTCCAATAAAAGTTTCTGTGACTTATGGATCAGGATGTGGTGGGGGCGGGGCCTGCATCTGGGCGGGGCCTTGGCTTTTGGTATCCTAGCAACCACTAGGCCCCAGGAGCTGTTGGACACAACGGTGAAAATGGAGGCAGGAGCATTAGATGCAAGCAGCTACCTTTCAGCAGAGGGCGTTAACCTGATTCCAGATTTGGATCTGTATGATGTGGATAGCTGTGACACCCCAGACCCGGGATTTCTGTTGGAAAAGAATGGTGAGGGGGAATGGCCTCCCGCCGCCTCCCTTTAGAGAACAGGTCTCACAAGGGTTCTGTTCTGTCCGGAAATGTAACTTCGGGCAGTTCCTGGTGGCCAAAGCACTGTCTGACTGTCAGGGTTGCTCCATCTGCCTGTAGAGTTGTACTTCCGGGAACCATCACAGGTCCAGGAGCTCTTTAGCAGCAGCCAGCAATGGCAGGACATGCCCTTGCAAAGCCGTGCCCGCCAGCTGTGGTTGCTCCTGCGCACAGGCCTCCACAACCTCGTGGAAAAGGTGTGGCTTGCCTGGGATCTGCCTTGGGCCTCTTTTCCAGACCAGCCCTTTCCCTGGGTGTTCCCGGTACCTACTGTGGTGGTCCCCTCATGTTTTCCTGGGCAGAAGCCCCCCATACTCCCACCCTCACCCCTTAACAAAGGTCTGTGTCCATGGTGGCCCGCAGGTGAAGAGTGCCGAATTGCGCGTGGCTCGTCTAAGGCATGGGCTGGAGCCACTGCGCCGCCTGGAGGTGGCAACTGGGCTGCATTCGGTGGCACAGGACCCAGAGGGCGGGCACTTTGTGGTGCTGGATGGCTCAGGACACCTACACCTGCACAGAAAGGACGGCTGGGCGCAACAGAAGCTGCAGGCCCCTGTGGCACTTACTGGACTGGTGGCTGTGCTGGGACCTCTAGGAGCTGTGGGCCGCTTTGTAGGCTGGGGCCCTGCTGGGCTGGCCATATTGGGGCCAAGCCTCCGCTTGCTGTGGCTGAGCCAGCCAGGGGTGGGCAGGGCCCTGGGCCGTGAGCCCACTTGCTGCCTGCCAGTGCCCAACCTGGGTCTGCTGCTTGTAGCTGAGGTGGGTGGTGGCCTGGCACTCTGGAAGTTCCGTTCAGGTGGCCGCCACCTGGTGCAGTGTGGGTCAGTTGTGCAGCCGCCACCAGGACTGGCAGGCACGCTGAAGAGGCTGGCTCTGGGGCCAGTGCCCAGTCACCTCCACCAACATTGCTTCGCAGTCTACGGCTCAGCGGTGCTCACTTTGGATCTGCATTCCTGGGCTCTCGTCCATGTGTGCCAGGATCTGCACAAGACGTGAGGGGGGACATAGGGACATGAGGCGGGTTCCTAGGGAGAGCCATGTACACATAGATGGTCCAGCTTATTCTGCCAGAACCCTCTTTCCCCATCTCCAGTACCATCTCAGATCTGGCATACTGCGAGGAGGTGGAGGCAGTGGTGACAGCTTCCCAGGACAGTACAGTGAAGGTGTGGGAGGTGGACTGGCAGATCCGCATGGTGTTCGTGGGCCACACAGGTGCGCACATCCTGGCAGCTCTTGCAGTGCATTCTTTCAGCCCCTCAAAAGCACTCAGCTGGCTGGGATCTCGGCCAGCCCAAGCCAAGCTTCCCTACTTCAGCTGCACCAGGGCTGACTGCTCCCCCTCCCTCAGTTTCCGGGTGCCGGAATGACTGAGCCTCTCCTACAGGCCCAGTTACAGCTATGGCTGTGCTCCCGAAAACCACCCTGGTGGTGTCGGCCTCACAGGATGGGACGCTGCGCACATGGGACCTGCAGACAGAGGCACAGGTGGGCGAGGTGTCGCTGTGTGATGGTAGCCAGGATGTGCTGTCCTGGCGCGTGAACCGCTTGCTGGCACCCGCAGGCGCCGGCTGGCCAGTACTATCACTGTGTGCCAGGAGCGTGGAGCTGTGGCAAGTGCGTGAACTCTACTCACAGCTGGCTCAGCTGCCTGCGCAGGTGCTGCACCTAGAGGTGGTGCCTGTGCTGCCTGCACCTGTAGACCCCGTGCTGCCTGTGCGCCTTGTTTGCGCATGTGCAGATGGTTCGGTCCATATGGTGTCAGCAGTGTCAGGACGCAAGGTGAACACCCTGCAGCTTGAGCCTGAAGATTGCGCTGCTGCAGTGGCCTACTGCCTGCCGCGTGAGGCGCTGTGGCTGCTGACCCGGGCTGGACACCTGCTGCGAGTGAATGCAGCACACTGTCCCATGAGCGTGGTACACCGCATATGCCCACCTTTGCCCTCTTCACCACAACCCTGCTGCCTGCACCTCTACAGCCACCTCACTGACCCTGGCACTGCACTTGCCTGCTGGGAGATTGTGTGCCACAATGAGGGTGACCCACGCCGCTGTGCCAAGGCCTGGGCCTGGAAGAACAAGAACCGGTGGGCACCTGGGCACCTCTGGGCTGCCTCTAGCCTAGTCCAGCCCCTCCAGTTTGGCAACAGGACCAGTGCCAACAGGCTCATTCGCCACCTGCAGGTACCTGCCTGTGCTGGGACACACAGATGGTGCGTTGTCGGTGCTGGACTGGCTTTCTTCAAAGACCATCTTTCAGATGAAGGCGCACAGTCCAGGTCCAGTTACTGCAATTGCATCCACTTGTAACAGCATCGTCTCATCGGGTCAGTACCTCTTTGAAACGGAAGCCAGTCTGGGAGGCCCTCCCCTCTGTGAGGGTCCAGTCCCAGTTTCTTCCATCCACAGGTGGAGACAGTACTGTGAAGATGTGGCGTATCTTTCCCTATGCTGAAGAGAGCCTGAGCCTGCTGCACACCTTCTCGTGCTGTCACCCAGTTGTGCAGCTTTGTGCATTGGGCAATCGCATCACTGTAGGCTTTGAGGACCCAGACAGTGCCACATATGGCCTGGTACAGTTTGGCCTGGGTGAGGGCCGGCGCTGTGACCACCGGCCCCAGGATGACCCGATGGACCACATCACTGGTGAGGGGGTCAAAAGAGAGGTGAAGCATGGGCCCCATGCCACGCAGTCTAGTTCCTGATACAAGCCCACCTGCAGGCCTGTGTTGCTGCCCCACGCTCAAGCTCTATGCCTGCGCCAGCCTGGACTGCACTGTCCGCATCTGGACTGCGGAGAACCGCCTGCTGCGGTCGGCTGGAGCCCCAGGGAGTGGGGTGGGGTCTTGGGGGAAGCTGGCTGGGCTCTCTCCACCTCTGCCTCCCATGAGAGCCCAGTGACTGAACTGGAGGGACAAAGCCTTGCCCTCATCACTCTTCAGTTTCCCACTCTGAGCAAGGGCTGAACTCTGGCCTCTGGGCACCCCCTACAGGCTCTTGCAGCTGGATGGTGCCCCCCAGGCCCTGGCTTTCTGCAGCAACAATGGAGACCTGGTCCTGGCACTGGGTTCTCGCCTCTGCCTGGTATCCCATAGCCTCTACCTTCCCACCTTCTACCTGGTTCAGGTGTGCCATGAGAACAGGGTGCACAAGGTGGGGGTGCCACATGCAGATAGGCTCCTGAGTCCAGAGATCAAGGCTCTTCTTGCTTGCTCTTCTCTCAGAAGCTGTACCAGAAGGGCCCTGACGTGCTAGATGATCCTCTGCTGCCGTTGACCAACCTGGAGGCACTGACCCCCATGCAGCTACAGAGGCACACCAACTTGCAGGGTGTGGCTGGCCTCAGGTCTGCTGCCAGGCTCACACAGCCCCCAGGATGAAGACTCAGGAATCCTGGTTCCCTCAGGGACTGCCACAGGCCCATTCCAGCCTGGGCATCTCCTTCCTGGCTGGTCCTTGTCCCTGTTTCTGCCCTGACTCACTGGTAATGCCACCTAGCATCTCACCTGTCCTTGTCTCTGTCTGCAGTGTAGATTTGCCCTTCATCTATCATCACCAGATGGTAACACCTCAGCAGCCAGTGGTGAAGGAGGTACAGAGGGTCCTGACCCCCTCGTCACCCCATTGTCCAGTCCTGGCTCTTGCCCAGGCCCAGGCTACAGCCCCTCAGTCCTTGGTCTGGCCTGGCCAGCATGTGACAAGTTTTATGGAAGCATAACTTATTTCTGATTCCCACCTCAGGACATGGAGGCCCTACAGACCAGAGACCGAGACCTTCAGCAGTTGAAGCTAGGGCTAGTAGTCCCAGAGGCTCAGCCCCCACCCTCCTGGAAACAGCATCAGGAAGCCTTTGAAAATTACCTATATCTGATCTATGGCCCTGGTCTGCTGGTGGGTATGGGGCCAGCCCTAGCCATGGCCCCTCCCCTCACCCCAGGCCTGACATGTCTACCTGATGCCACCTGTGCCAGGGTATTCAGTCTGGAGAGGATTCAGAACAGTTGAGCACCTTGGCCTCCACCACACAGAAAGAGTCCCAGGACAAGTATGCCTTACCCAGTACTGCCTCCTGCTTTGGTCAGGCTACAGTCAGCATTGAAGCCCAGACAGCACCCATAGCCCCATCTCCCCAGGCCCTAAGAGCCCCAGGCTGGAGCTTGGCCCACCCTCACCGAGTCACCTTACCTGTTCTACCCACCCACCGGAGGGTGCACAGCAAGGCATCCCAGGTGAGATCTCCTTCCCTTCCCACATCCCTGCCCAATATCATGGCCTCTGCCTCCATCTCTGGCTCCTTTGATGTCCCAGCTTCTAGCTTGCTCCTCCCTGAGCCAAGACCTGGGCCTCAGTCTGGATTTACTGCTGCACTCGGAGCAGGTTCAAGGGGAGATGACCACAGCGCTGGGCCAACTGTCTTCCCTGATGCAGCACAGGGTGAGGGACTTCTGCAGATGGGGTGCCATCTGCCTTAGGCAGAGCTTCAGAGACTCTAAGGACTATGCTCTGCTCTGAGTCCCTTTCCCTTCCCCTTCCTAGGTCCCACTATTGCTGCAGAGACAGCCCAAGGAGCCTCTCTCAAACCTCAAGGGGTTCTTTCCTGCCACTATACAGCCCTACAAGGTAAGACTCTGAGGTATCCCCCAGAGGTATCACCTTTAAGGTTCTCTCTTCTTATGCATCTCATCACATCTTTGCCAAAAACCTTCATGTTAAAGTTTGACCCAAGAGCTATGTCCCTCTACATCCCAGAGGGCCAGGCTCCAGAGTAGTCTACCTATTCTGGTGAAGCCATGTTTGGGCATGGGCTCCTTGGTGTCTCCCAGGTCAGGACCTGAGCCAGGGTTCCCACACTACTGGCTCTACCTTGACCCCCTCAAGTTCTGGAAGTTCCGTTCAGGTGGCCGCCACCTGGTGCAGTGTGGGTCAGTTGTGCAGCCGCCACCAGGACTGGCAGGCACGCTGAAGAGGCTGGCTCTGGGGCCAGAGTGATCAGCATCTCTGCCTTTTAGTGGGGAGCAAGTTCAGGGGAAGCAGGGCCCTCGAGATCCACTGTCTCTACAGTCACTCACACTAAATGCCTAGCATGATCAAGCCGCTCACCAAGTACACATCTGGCCCCTGCTCATGTGGGTCCCTGACCTTCCAACCTGGGTGTCCTCATTTTCCCAAGGCCTCTAGTACCCCTCTCTTCAAGCTCCTTCTTTTTCTACCCTGCCATTCCCTAATCCCCATTTCTGGCAGACTTCCTTGTTCCAGCTTGGCCTGAGTCCTATGGAAAGCATGTGGAGGCCAGCTGTCCTCTGGGTTCCCCTCATTTTCCAGTTTAAGGAGTGCCCTTCCACCTCATTTCACAGGCTTCCCTGCTTGTCTGTTTGCTGAGAGCAGGGGCTCCATTTCAGTCTGACCCTTGAACTGGGCCCCTGGCTGAGGGACTCACAATGGTTAAGGGAGTGCCCCTGAGTAGTATCCCCGTTGGGCAACTTAAGGTTCTCAGTGACCCCGCTGTGCTCCATTTCCAGTACTGCCCAGGGCCCATCAGCTTCCCAGGCTTTGTGCCCAACTCTGCGGTGCTGCAGCAGATGTGGCTGCCCATGGAGATCAGCTGCCTTGGATCCCTGGCCAAGCTTGCCTTCCAGAATAGACTCAAGGCAAGAGGCAGTGATGAGGTGGGGTTCAGGGAGGGCTCACAGTCCCCACAGGCTGCCACACTCCCCTTTATATTTCCCCCTCTGCAGCAAGGTCTAAACATGGATAGCCTATGGCTGTCACATCACAGGTGGTCTACAGGCAAGTGGCGGAAGAGACTCATCCCTTGGCTTTACAGGGATTCTAGTGAGGAGGAAGAGGAGGAAGAGGAGGAGGACAAAGAGTTGCTGGAGGTGGACTGGGCCTCGGCTTCCTTAAGCCCAGAGAAGCTGCACTCACAGCAGCAGCTAGATTCCTGGGAGCCAAAGGCTTTGGTAGGCACCCCATGCTGCCACAGGAGGGGTGGGCTTGGTACTTACAACCCAGAGGGAGGACCTGCAACTACTGTTGCATTTTCTAGAACTCCACAGACTTGACCACAGTGTGCTGGAGTTCCCATGAGGCCCCAGGGAGCAGGACCAACCTTGGCCCAAAGTACTACTATGAGCAATTCCTCTGGGAAGAGAGATACAGGAATCTTCCCAGGTTCCTGCATTTTTTTGTTGTCCAGAACTGGTTCAAAAAGCTGTTCCCCATCTTCAGCCTGGAGGTATGGAAGGGCCTTGGAAGCTTGGAAACACAGGGTGGGGTGGGGGATGTGGAGAGGACAAGAACCCACTTGGTGCAGTACAGGGGCAGGACCTCAGCACAACATCCCACAGGCCTACCCGGAGATGGGCACTGTGGAGGGCCTGGCCTCAATGTTTGTGGACCTGCTAGCAGAGGCCACCTGGGCAGACTGTGTGCATATCCTGCAAGCACTGCTGAGGCTGATGCCCAAGGTGAGCCAAGAACTCCAGGGACGGCTGAAGAGCAATCTCCTGAAGTTGCTCAACCTGGATCAGCCTCCTACCCTTGAGGTAAGCTCCTCAGCTGCCCCTTACCTGCAACTTTAACTTCCTGCACTGACTACAGTACCACCTCCCATCCCTATGCTCAGGACCCTACACAGAAGCAGTTTGTGATGCTGGCATTGCAGTTGCTCCTGGCCTGCTCCCTAGAGTCCCGTGATGTGGTGGTGGAGCTCATGTCTTACTTCCTCTACTCTCCAGCTGCCTACCAGTGAGTCATGCTCCTGGCTGGTCCTCCCACCAGCTGGGAAGGCCTTGGGTTAAGCTACACACATCTGTCTCAGGCCAGAGCTCAAGAAGCTGCTGGATGGGCTGGGCCTCCAGGATCCACAGGGTTTCCTGTTCAAGGAGATGATGACCTGGGTCCAGGGTTCTGACCTTAGCTCGAAGGCCATGCTGCGTACACGCTGCTCCCAGAAACTGGAGGACATGATCCAGCAGCTGAAGGTCTGACATACAGGGGCTGGTTGGGGCACCCATGGGTAGCCTCTCACCCTCAGAAATCTAGAAGTCCCCAGAGAGGGCCAAGAGGATCTGCAGGAATGCCTCCTTAGGCTCTGTTTCCATGATTCCCCAACCTGAGTATCTCTGGGGAATCCTGCTCCCATTGAAGGCTACACCATGGGCTTTATGTTAGAACCAGAGACTGCTCTGATGAGGCCTCTTAATTAGGCAGGCTTCCTGGGGTAGGAGTGGGGGCAGAAAGAAGTTTCAGGGGCTAATGAGCTAGGGTGCTTTCTTGACCCACCACTTCCCCTACAGAGGGAAAACACACAGCCAAGTACAGCAAAGTTGCCTGTGGTGCTGCCCAAGGTCTCTGAGACCTCAATGCCTTCCTCTCCTCTCAAGGAGACCCTTTCACAAGCTTCGATGGTCTCGGGGACACCCACAAGCATCCTGCAGCCACCTTTGCTGGTGGTGTCTCTAGCAACTAGCCCAGAGCTCCAGGCTGAGCCAAGGCCCATGCAGGTACCCACCAGGCGGACCAGACACTTTCTCTCGGAAACACTACAGAGATTTTTCTTGGTGCCCCAGGCCGGAGTAGATTCCCTTTTGCCGCCTGCACAGCATAATGAGCTGCTGCCACTAGAAAAAACTGACTGGTCACATTCAAAGATGCTGGACCTGTGCACCATTGATGCACTGAATTTCTTCTGTGAGAAGCAGCGTATGCGGCAGCTGAGCTCGCTACAGGAGGCCGAGTGCATGCCTGCAGCTGTGTGCCTCAGGGAGCCCAACACTGTGGTTCCGCAGCCTCGGGATCGCAGGTACACGGCTGGGCTTCAGGGCCAGGGTGCTGGGTAGGTACTGGGTGTGGCTTGGCTGAATTGGCACCTTCCCTAGGCACCACCCCATCCTCCGGCTGCAGGAGGCCGAGCCCCAGAGCTCCCGGATGAGACCAAGAGGTGAGTGGACCCCGGGGGTGCAGCCTGTATCCTGACTCTGGGCCTGCCAGCCCCCACCAGGCCCTGTTGGCCCATCCCTGCCTCACTGCCCCTTTGCTCCTAGGCCGTGCACTGTCCCGACACTACACCCGTGAGCTGAATGGCGCCATCCGCGCGCTGAAGCTGCCCCTGCCTCGGGTGGAGCCACAGCCCTTTCCCCCAGGCTGGCCTAGGCCTGCTCGAGCGCAACCGGCACGGCTCCTACAGCCCGCCCTGCAACGCTACTTTCTTCCAGAGGACACGGACCCTGACAGCTATAGCTAGTAGCTTAGGCTTGGGGGTGCTCCTGCCAACTTGGGGGAGTTACACCCCATCCCCTAGCCTACCCTACAGCCCAAAATAAAGTCCAGAGGCTGGGACTGAACTTCAGATACGAGCTCCTCTTTGGGATTTTGGGGAAGGCAAGGGAGGCCAAGTGGGGCATCTGATTCCTCTTGCAGAAGGCAGGAGCATGGGCTGTTATGTCTGGGGTTGGATAGCAGCTGGCACTTGGTCCATAAAGATGGAACACCTCCTCTGCTGCGGTGACCCATCTACCTGGGCAAGAGGAGGACACTCATAGTGTGGGACAGTTACTAGGTAGTAAGATGGAACACTGGCCACACAGATATTTCTCTGGGCCAGCGAGAGGCCACAGGTGTGTGTGTTGGAGGAGGGGCCTTCTGCCAGACAGGCTGTTATCTGAGAAACAAGGAAGCAGCCTGCTTTGGATCGTGCCACTTAAAAGTCCTTGTAAGGTAGACATTGTCTTGGGGTGCAGGGTCTTAGAGGGGCTCACTTCCTTCTCACCTGGCAGGGCGTTGATGGGACCGTGCACAGTGGACTGAGGGTCCACGCACACACAAATATTTGCTCTGCTTTTGTGAAGTTCCCTAGCTTTTTACATCCTCTCACTAATTGGCTTAGCAGTAATCTCTCCTGTAAATTCTCAGCCTCTTATTTTAGACATTTCTTCTTGATGGTTAGAACTCTAGTCTTCCATTCCTTCCCCTTGTTAGGAATAAGCCCCATAACTCAAATTGTTGGTGCCGAAAAGAATGCACTCAAACAGCACTCAAGAAGACTCGACTGGGCAAAGTTTAAAGTTTACTTCTGCAGAAGGGTGTGAGTGCACTCAGACCCTTCTGAGTGGGCACATCTAGGAACATCTAGGGGGCCAGATTGAAGCCTAAGACATGGGAAACATCTATTCTTTAAATTCATTGGCAAAATTTGAAGACTTACAATCTATAGAAGTTGACTAGTTTAGTCATGTCGTGTCACAAGAAGAGGATCTGAAGGATTGCTGAGGGGGAGAAAGTGGGAGGGGAGAAGTGTGGGGAACATAATGTCTTTGGGCTATTAATAAACTATCTTTGGTTTGTAGCTATGTTCCTAAAATTTAGGTGTTTGGGGCCTGGTAGCACACTCCTGTAATCTCAGCACTCAGGAGGCTGAGGTGAGGATCACTTAAAGATCAAGGCCAGCCTGGGCTATAGAGTGAGTTCAAGGCCACCCTGAACTACACAGGGAGACCTTGTCTTAAAAAAAAAAATTAAGCATGTGAACCTGTAAATCAGCAGTCATGCTGGTGGATACTTTATTCCACAGACATGAAGACTTACCTCTATACCAAAACCTGCACACTAAAGGTTTTTTAGGGACTTTATTTGTAATAGCATCCATAAGTATGGTGAAACAGCATAGAACTACACATACATATTTCAGTTTTGACCTTGTACAATAACTGCATGAGATGTAACCACTGACTGAGATACCTTGAACAGGCAGAGTCATATAGACAGACCAGATTACAAGTCACTAGGGACCGGGGGTAAGGGATGTGGGAAATTAATACTTAATGGTGACAGTTTCTTTCTTTATTTGACACAGGATCTCACTATGTAGTTCAGGCTGGCCTTACAATGATCCTGCCTCAGCCTCCCAACTGCTGGAATCGTGTCCAGGCCTGTGCTCACTGGGTGATAAAAAAAAAAAGTTTTAGAAATAGTAGTCGTGGTGCCAAAGTGTTGTAGATGTAATTAATGCTACTAGCTATATACTTAAATGTGACATTTTGTTATATGAGTTTTACCATAATTTTGTTTGTTTGTTTGTTTTAGACAGGGTCTCACTATGTAGTTCAGGCTGACTTTGAACCCTTTATGTAGCCCAAGGGTGGCCTCAATTTCACAGCAATTCTCCTGCCTCCACTTCCCAAGTGCGGGGATTACAGGTATTCACTTCCATGCTCAGCTTTATACCGCAAAATTTAAAAAAATAATGTCACATACCCAAGCTCATTGAATTTGAATGTGTGACTTGAGGCTGGGGATTAAGCTCTGTGATAAAATGCTTCCCTAGCATACATGAGGACTTGGGTTTAATCTCTAGCACCAAAAAGATTATTTGTGTGGTATGTGAATTTTATCTCAAAATACATGTTAAAGAAAAGACACAGAGTTGGGCATGGAGGTACATGCTTATAATGCCACCACTCTGAGATGCTGAGGCAGGAGGATCACAAATTCCAGGCAAGATTGGGAAACTTAGCAAGACCCTGTCTCAAAATAAAAAGGACCTTGGGATGTAGTTCAGTAGTAGAGTGCCCCTACCTTCTATCCTTGGTACTGGGGCCGGGGAGCAAAGGACCCATTATGAAGAGTCTCCAAGGGCTAAATTGAAGACAATTTGTGGATGAAAATAACCAGGACAAGTTACTGTATTTCTTTCTCTTTCTTAAAAAAATTGTATTTCTTTAAATAAAATAGAAGCCCATGAGGGCTGGGATTTAGCTCAGTGGTTCCACCACCTGCCTTGTAAGTGCAAGGTCCCAAGTTTAATCATGAGTCCACAGTGATACAGTGAAGATAAAGCTTTTCTGTACAATAAATGATGAAATTAGAAAAATCACCATTTGGCAACAATCATGGTAATAACTCGGACAAAAGAGCAATACATGTGTGAAGGCCCTCAGTTTAATCCCTAGTACCATACACACACACAAAGACAGAAAGAGTGAGCTAGGAAATAAATACTATCCAAATTCCTTCTGCAGACAGCACAAATGACATTAAAAAGCATGTGCACAGAAGTAATGGCAGAAAACTTCTCAAACAGAGAAAAACAATTTGATGTACAGATAAGCGAGACACACAGGACTCCAATTAGCTACAATTAAAAAAAATATTTTCCAGGGCCAGGGATTTAGCTCAGTGGTGCTACCACCTGCCTCTCAAGCTCAAGGTCCTGATTTCAATCCCTAGTACCACACACACACACACACACACACACACAAAACTTTTCCAAGGCATATAATAGTCAAGATTCCAGGAATTCAACACAAGAATAGAATATTAAAAGCTGTTAAGCTGGGCGTGATAGTGCATGCCATGCCTGTAATCCCAGCACTTGAGAGGCTGAGGCAGGAGGATCGCTGAGTTTGAGACCAGCCTGGGCTACATAGTGAGTTCCAGGTCAGTCTCAACTACACAGTGAGACCCTGTCTCAAAAAACCAAAAAAAAAAAAGCTGTTAGAGGGCTGTATATTTATTTAGCCCAGTGGGGCTGAGCTTGCCTTACAAGCACAAGGTCCTGAGTTTGATCACATGCCAGTAATCCCAGCACTTGGGAGGCTGAGGCAGAAGGATCCCTGTGAATTCAAGGCCAGCCTGAACTACACAGTGAGACAATGTTCTAATTACAATCATATATTTTGTCTATTCTGTTCCTAATTTGAGAATGCTTTGTCTTGTCCTTTATGAGCCTTGTTTACATTAATTTCAATAGAAACCACATGTCACCTTTACCCCAATTGATTGCCAAAAAAGTCAGTGCCTAGGACTAGCCAGCACATCAGTCGGTTGTACTGGCATTTGTTGTCCTGGCATCCCACTTTCTCTCTTAGTTCTGTCTCTTGTTGTATTTTTTTTCATGTCTGTGTCATATACTGAGCAGGTGGGTACTGGAACCTGACTGCAGGTGTCTTTGGCAAACTCAAGGAGAGTTTGGAGTGAAGTATTTCAAGCCCTAAAGAAAAACAACCTCCAACACAGATTGATATACCCTGAAAAACTGTCTTTCAGAATTGATGGAGAGGGGCTGGGGTTTTAACTCAGTGGTTCCACCGCCTGTCTTACAAGACAAGGTCCCACGTTCAATCTCCAGTACCCTCCCCACAAAAAAATTGATGGAGAAATAAGACACTTTCATGACAAAGAACATCTGAAGAAATTCATGACCACCAAAACCAGCACTCCAAAGTGTTCTGAAGGTCATTCTAGAAAGAGACAACAAAGATTACAATTCCATGAAACAAAACAGAATGAATCCACCAGGCAAGGCAATAATTAAACAGGAAAGGAAAGAAGGAAGCCAACAACAGGAAAATAATGGGCAGAGATAAGACAATACACATCAATTATAACCATCAATTAATGGTCTCAATTCACCAACCAAAAGAATCAGACTGGCAGAATGAATCAAGAAGCAAGATCCAGGGCTGGGGATTCAGCTCAGTGGTTCTGCCACCTGCCTGGAAAGCCCAAAGTCCTGAGTTTGGTCTCCAGCAAAAAAAAAAAAAAAAAAAAAAAAGAGGCAAGATCCAACGATATGCTTTATACAAGAAACACATTTAATTAAAAAACAAATTAATATGGGCCGGGGATTTAGCTCAGTGGTTTGGTGGCCTGCCTTGCAAGCACAAGGCCCCAAGTTCAATCCCCGGTACCAACAAAACAAAACAAAACAAAACAAATTAATGGACAAAGTCAAAGGATGGAAAACAATTTTCCATGTGACAGGAACCAGGCAAAAAGCAGGGGTAGTTATTCTATTTGCAGACAAAGTGGATTTCAAGCCAAGACTGATTAAGAGAGACAAAGAAGGTTACTACATCCTTGTAAAGGGAACAATGTAAGAGGAAAGCAATCATAAATATATATGCACCAAATAGCAGCACGCTCAACTATATAAAACAAATATTAGTGGACAAATTATATACACACTATCACAGTTATGATGGGGGACCTCAATACCCACTGTCAAAAATAGACAGATCAGGGCCAGGGATTTAGCTCAGAGGTTCCGCTGCCTGACTCGCAAGCACAAGGACCTGAGTTTGGTCCCTGGTACTAGGGAAAAAAAAAAAAAAAAAAGAGATCAACTAGACCAAAAAAATCAACAAAGTAATATTAGAACTGAACCAAGCTTTTGAACAAATGGACTTAATAGATGTCTCCAGAATGTTACACCCCACATCAGAAAACAAATTCTTCTCAGCTATACATGGGACATTCTCCAAAACAGACCACATACTAGCTCTTGAATATGCTTAAGTAAATGCAAAGGAATTGAAATTATCAGACCATAGTGCAATGAAACTGGAATCAACAG